CAGTTTTCCCCTGACTAGTATGTAGTGACCTTCTTTATCTCTTTTGATTGTTGTCGGTTTGAAGTTTACATTGTCTGCAAATGGAATAGTTACACCTGCTTTCTTCTGGGTTCCCATTGCACGGAAGACTGTTTCCATCCTTTGACTTTTAGTCAATCAATTTTCTTTTGAGTAAAATATGTTTCCTGTATACATCACATGGTTGGATTTTGTTTTTTAATCTGCTCTGCCAGTCTGTTTCTTTTGACTTGAGAATTGAGGCCACTTTCATTTATAGTTATAACAGACATGTTTTGATTTATCATTGTCATATTATTTACTTGCATTGGTTTCCTACTTTTTCTACCTGTTTACTTGCTTTCTGTTCTTGATGTTTCATTTCTACTGTTGTTCTTGAAATTGTGATCAAATTTTTCTCTGTCTAGGATATCTTTTAGTACTCTATGCAGTGCTGGTTTGGCACTCATGAAGTTCTTCAGTTGTTCTTTGTCATGGGAATATTTTATTTCTCCTTTGAATTTGAGGGATACTTTGGCAGGGTACATGAGTCTTTATTGGAAGCTGTTTTGTCTCAGGACCTGTAATGCTTCACTCCAAGATCTTCTCGGTGGGATGGTTTGTGGTGTTAAGTCTGCCGTGATTCTGATGGGCTTTCCTTTATAGGTAATCTGTTTCTTTTCCCTAGCAGCTTTTAATATTCTCTTCTTTTGCTGGAGATCTGGGAACTTGACTATTATATGTCTGGATGTAGTTTTATTTTGGTTGTGGTTGTTTGGAGTTCTATATGCCTCATTTACTGTACATCAGTTTCTGTTTCCATACTTGGGAAATTTTCTGCTATTATTTCTGCAAATACTTTTTTATGTCAGTTGTGTTGCTTCCTCCTGTTTTGTTGACTCCTATACGTTGTACATTATTCCTCTTTGCCCATCTTGCAGCTGTTGAATTGACTTTTCCTGGCTCCTTGTTGATTTTACGAGATCCTTTCTTTCATGGTCACTAGTTGCCACATTGTCTTCAAAGTCTGAGATTGTATCTTCAGCTTCATTCAAGTGGTTTTGGCAGCTTTCAATGGAAGCTTTGTTTTCCTGGAAGCCTCTTTCAATCTGGTTCATGCATTCTAAGTCCTTTCTATATTTTTCATTTAATGCTTCCATCCATTGCCTTTGTTCTTCCATTTTCTTGTATGTTTCTCCTTCAGACGTGTTGAGCTGTTCTTTCATTATTATTGTCATTTCATTTTTGTGTGAGAGATTATTTCTGATCTCATCTCTTCTATGGCCTTATGGAGTTGTTTCTTTACTTCCATTGCAATCATTTCAGCTATTTTAGGCATGTTTTTTACCAAGTTCTCCTATGTCGATGTCTCCTGGACTTGTTCTGAGTATGTTGAAGTTCTGGGATTGTGTTTTAGTCCTTTGTTTTGTCATGTTTGCTACTGGATGCAAAAAGCTCAGTTTCTCTCTTCAGTGGCTACACAGCAAATGTCACTAGTGTCCCTAGTTTTCCTGTTGGTCAGGTTTGCCCCTCAGTGTCCACTGAGAAGCACTACTTAGTCTTGTGTTTTCTGGCAATTGTTAATTTTTATGTAGTTATCCCAGGTCTCAGGTGCAGGTATAGTTGTCAGCTGATGGCAGACCGTCTGATGCAACATCCCTTTGCAGTTCAGGGCACATGCATGGCCCAGACTCGGGTTGCACTGGTGTGACAATCCCGGTCCAGTGGACCTATGTCCCCAGGCAGTTCAGAGTACAGGCAAAACCCAGACACAAACTGCAGGGTTGACAGATTGTGAACCACCTAATTCTGTGTCTCCAGTCATTTCAGGATACATACTGGACCCAGATGTGGACCAGACCAACAGCAATCACAGACTCCCTGTTTCTGCCACCCCCCAGGGGGTCCAGGTGCAAGTAAAGCACAGACTCAAACTGTGGAACCAGCAGCTCTTGGAGCACTCACTCACTTGGTGCAGGGCATGTGCAGGGCAGGCCCACATGTGAACCCCAGTGAGAGCAGTCCCCAGGCCTTCTGAGTGAGGACCTCCTGTCTGCCGCTTTAATAGCAGTAAGGTCCTGGGTCACCCACTCTGCCCCCAGGAATTAGATTGGAAATACCTGGTTTCTCCACAAGTTTCACGTGGGAGCAGTGGAAGTGGAAGTGGGTCGTAGCCCACCTGCTTCTACTTCTTAGTCAGTTCAGGGCATGCACAGGAACCAGATCCAGGCCATTCAAAATGGAATGGCAGACTGCCCGTGTCTGTGACCACCCCCCCAGTGGGTCTGGGTGCAAGCACAGACTTGAACTGTGGGACCAGGAGCTCTTGGAGCACTCACTTACTTGGCACAGGGCATGCACAGGGAGGGCCCACACATGAACTCCAGTGAGAGCAGTCCCCAGGGCTTCTGAGTGAGGACCTCCTGTCTGCTGCAGGTGCATGGAAGGCAGGGACTCAGCTCTCAGTACATATTTCTTTGGCTACTTCAGTCACTGCAACTGAAATCACCATTGTTCAAAAAATGTTTTGTTTAACTAAAAAGTGAGACATTTGAAAATTTACTTTGATGGCAGCCTCACCATTTACTTTCATAAAGAAAATTTTATCAATGATATATTTAATTTTAAATGTTATAATGTTGCCCAGTGTTGTTTTAACATAATTTGAGCATATTCGGGTGATGTCAATATATAATGATATTCATTAGCTATTATTTCCTTGCATAATACATTCATATAATTCAACAGTAAATTTATCCACAATCCAATATGCATTTACATGTTTTATTCAAAATTTAATTTTAACTTCTTTTGACATGATTGACATTCTTCTTAAATTTTTTTATTAGTTCACATTTGCATACATAATGATTATATTTATCATGGTAGCTTGGTCTGTGGATGTAACGTCTCTTAATTCTTTTCACAGCCCTTTCCCCCACTCCTTCCCTTCAGGCTGCATCATTCTCTTTTTCTGTACTCCTCACCCTCCACCTCTTCATTGCCTTTCCTTTTGGGAAAGATCTATCTCCCTACCTTCTATAAACCTTTATTTTGTTCATTAATCATGTCTTGGATTTCTCATATAAAAGAAACCATGCCATATATTCAAGTGTGTGACTAATTCATTTCTTTTAACATTATTATGTCAAGGTGCATTGATATGACTACAAATAACTTAAGTTTATCATTCTTTATGTCATAGTAGTATACCATTCTGTGTAACCATTATGTAATACAGCAAGCATTGTTAATTTCCTACCACTTTGTTTGTAACTCTGTATTGTCTGTACTGTTCTTTTGCTATTTTGTAAAAGGCTGTCTGCCTGTTAATGTTTTCCTCCTTTTATTTTTAAAATTTAAAAAAATCAAAGTTCTTTATCCTTTCATCTGCTGATGGATATGTAGAATGCTTCCAAGGTTGAGCTATCATAGGTATGTCTGTGCCACTGTAATGTTACATCTTTAATTCTTGGGAAAATGCTTCAGTGTCACAATAGTTGAGCCACTCAAACCAAGGTTGAGTTAAAACTATCTCACTGCACTGTGGAATTCTTTATTTCAGTTATTCAATTCTCTTGTATCATTGAATTTTATAGACAGCAACATATGAATTTCATATAATTTTGTGTTATAAAATATGATTAATGTTCTCATTTCTTTCTATGATTTAAAACATAAAATCTATCCCAAAAGTACAGGCCCCCTAAAATATATATCACACTTGATTTGACCTAAGGGCCATAGTTTGATCCTCCCTGCCCTGCATTGTGTTTGCCTGCATCGAGAACAGCAAAGTGATAAGGGCATACGAGGAACATGACAAGGATTCTTTCATTTACTATGAGGTGTCAAATATCTTTTGGGGAAAGCATTTCTCTAATGTTTGTCCTACTCTGAAATGTTCAACCCCATACTCTTCTAAATGACTGCACATCAATCCCTATGTGGTGATCAGGAGTAACATGGATCCTCAACTCTAGGTACACAGACTGCAAATTCATCATATGCCTAATGTTTACTTGGTCCACTGAATAAGATGTCTACTTTGAAACCATAGTAAGGTGTGTCTTAATGTTAATAAGAAAATCCTCTGACATTTATTTTCCAGATTCTGACTTCAAAATGTACAATATAAATCTCATCACTGCTATCTTGGTAGTCCTCCCAATAAGTTTTCTTCTTTGTGTGTTCAAGAACGGATGTTGCAATGGTATGTTTGTAAGTATGTAACGTTATGATACCTTAAGGAAACTTTCCACTACTCCAACAAATTTTGACATGGTTTCTGAATAGTAGGATAAGCCCTTCTCATCAGCAAAGGAAAATTTAAGACAAAGATGTGGAGGTCTCACAAAATTGTTTACTATTCAATTCTGATGAGTCATTAATTTAGTTCTGCACACAACATTTTTAAAAGATTATGGTAAAATGAAACCAATCAAAGGTACAATTTCCAAAACTGTAAAGGCTCTAAGTGCACATTAAAATACAAGGTATGAATAATTAATAGAAATAAATGTTTGACAAATAAAAGCACAATCTTTAAGGTACATGCAAAGCTTACCAACTATTACAGTAACTCTTTATTCATTTATTTCAGCTGTTAGCATTAGAAATAACAGATGAAGTTCTAAAGAGTCATATTTCAGCTCTCTAAATAGAAGTATTTTAATGGTGTAACTTGTTTCAATATTGAAGATGCCTGAAAAAAGGTCATGAGTTTACTCCCACTGAACCAGTCTATAAAGGTCTTAATGTTCATATAGAGAAATTGTTTTACTCATAGTGGATTCTTAAACTTATTGTTGTCTTAGTTACTTTTCTCATTGCTAAGACAAAATATCCAACACCCAAAGTTAAAGGAGGAAGGCTTTATTTGGTCCACAGTTTGTAGAGCTTTCAGTCCATATTTGGCTGGTTCCAAGGCAGGGTGGCATGGCAGAGAGGCATCACAGAGGAGAAAGAGTCCACAGCAAGCAGACTGGCAAGAGCACATTAGTACTTGTCCCTTATACTTTATACAGGCTACCTGCCCTAGGACAGGTGTAACACTCAAACCCTTAACCCTAGCCAAAACTATGCCAAACCAATCAGTGGACTGATTTAGTAACCACATACCCCTGATCCCAGCACCACACTCTCTAAACCCAGCCACCTCTGAAAAGCCGCACCTAAGACCACGTGAGGCTTTGGGGGGACATCTAGACATAACGCATAAAAATTGTTAAGGATAAACTTTGTTTATATTTGAGTTTTACAGCATGACAATATGGATTACATGTATGCTAAAATGATTACTATATTGAAGTAAATTAACATATCCATTATCTGACATAGTTAACTTCTTTTCATTGGGGTAAGTTAGAGGCTGCTAGCATGAAAATTTTACTTGGAAATCACTTCAGAAAGTTTCTGATATCAAGGGAAAGATATTTTTACTCAGAAAAAGAAGCATTTAGAAACTCAAACTAACATAACACAAAAAGAATCTCTCCATAACACATCATAGTCAATTTGTCAAAACTCAGAACAAAAAGAGACCACAAATAGCTGTTAGAGAGAAAAGCAAGCTAGTCTGTAAAGGCAAACATAACAGAATGACAGCAGACTTCTTAACAAATTCTAAAAGGCCAAGAGAGCTCAGAGTGTAATTATACAAGCACTAAAAAAATAATAATAATTATGAACCTAGTTTATTATAACCTTCAAAGCTCTGCTTCAAAATTGAGGCAGAAATAAAGCCCTTCAACCATAAGGACAAACTAAAGAACACCAAGCCACAACTGTAAAATATACCTAAGGGAATCTTAAGCAGAGACAAGAAAGACAGTGGAGTCCATGAGACCAAGAAAAATTGTAAATCTCACGGGGAGAATAGTTAAATGAAAAACTGAAAGGAATCAAGCACCGAAAACTTAATAAAATGACAGGAATTAGCACACACCTTTCAATAACTCTCAATGTAAATAGTCTTAGCTCTTGAATCAGAAGACGGTTAGGATGTCATTTTACGGTGTCAGAAGTCACCCATTGGACACCTATGTAAGCCCTGGTAAAGAGGCCCAGGCCCAGCTGAAAAGGCAGTAGTTTCAATGCAAATACTGTTCATATCCCTGAAATGTAACCCAGGCAATTTTTGTTGGAATCATGACCCAATGTCACAGTTAGCTACAGCAAAGCTATTGGGAGACTAATGCTGTATTGCTCAGTTGCGTGAACACAAAAGTTATTGATCTTTTAAATTAATTAAAACCAAGTAACTAAAAGTAAGGGAAGGTGGAGTACATTCAGGTTTTCCTTCAGTTTCAGTGCAACAGTCTCAATATTTTTTCAGTATCTATTGTCCATATTTGAACAAGTATTGTAAGAGATACCTGCCTTGCCTACCACATGAAGCAAGATGTAAAGTTTCACATATTATTAATGATAGATATATTATTGAATAAATATGGATACTAAAATTTGTTACTATATTGGAGCAAATAAGCATATCCATCAGCTCAAATAGTTACTTTTTGTAGAGGTTGACCTAGAGACTACTAATGTTAAAATTTATTCACTGAAATCACTTTAGAAAATTTCTAGTATCTAGGAAATGAGATGGTTACTCAAGAAAAAGAGGCATTTAGAAACTCAAAACAGAAATGACAGGAAACTGGCAAATTGCATCAAACTGGCAGAGTAGATGAAAAAAGAAGACCACATTATATGTTAACTGCAAGAAATTTAAAAATCCACAAATACATGGATTGGAGAAAGAGAGAGGTTCTAATTGCTGACAAAGTTGGCTTCGAAACACTACTGGTCTGAAGGATCAAAATAAAGGCAAGGCCAGGCCAGAGCACAGTGGGCAGATCAAAAAAAAGGAAATCAGAACATCATTCTTCCAGTCAAGGACGCTTGTCATCCATTAGAGCAGTAAATCACACTGTGGCAGTGGAGCCACTGAGGCCAGGCTTGTGATTTCCAGGAGGCCCACCCCCCAGGCCTGGGATTTCCCCCACTCCTGCAGCTGGCCCTTGGAGGCCAAATGAGCCAGTTCCTGCTGAGCTCCCATCCTCTTACAAGCAAGTCACAAAAGAAACAACCAATTCAAATTAATACTACAAATAATACTACTGCTGTTTCCACTCCAAGGCACACTATTTCTTCTGCAACTCAGACTGACTCTTTTAAAGAAATAGACAACAAAACTCTACAGGCACCTCTCCAGCCTCTGCAGCCTCTCCCAGCAGCCTCATGTGGCCATCTTCCACCAAATGTAGCACTTTTAATAGGCATTGACATTTCCAAACAATGGAATTGTCCAAAAAACACCATTGCTGCAAGATGTCCTGTGCCAAGACCAAGATTAAAAAGCAACCTCAGGCCAGCAGTTAGAGATACAAAAAGTAACCAGAAGAAAGTAACCAGTCCAGCAATCCCAGAAGGGTCACCTCCAGGCCAGCCCCAGTCTCTGTTGGATAATAACAATGACTTAGTCAGGCAGTGATGGACGTTATAAACACAGAGCAAAGCCAAAATAATATTGTCTCAAGGATCAAAGCATTTGAGGGTCAAACAAATGCAGAAACCTCAGCACTGACCAAGAAACCGGAAATTACTCCCTGCACACTTCCCCCAAAGCATGTTGTTTCCCCTGGGAAACCTTCTATGGCTCCCAAACCAGCCACTAACAGAGCTTCCAGAGAATGAGACATGCGGACTGAAAACAGACTCAAGGTGACCTCCAGGGAAAGGTTCACCCCATACTCTTTACAGCAAGAAGCTGGAAGTATCCCCATAACCAAACCTGAATTGCCAAAGAAACCAATTCCTTGCCTTTATATGAAGTGGTAATCATGAGATTTCAAGAGGAGGGTGCACGGTCCAGAGCCGCAGCACTGGGAGGAAAGTCCCAACTCCAGTTCCTCCACCTTCGCTACTGAAGAAATGAGCTTCCTGAGAAACCCCTCCCCACCCATCTGCTCCACCTAAACCAGTCCCTGTGCCTCCCCGACTCTCTGGAGCATCACAAGCACAGACATTCAGGTCACTGGGAGAAGGACCTCCGGCACCTCCCCCAGTTCCAGCTCTGCAAAGCAGGCCCCCTGGGGCACATCCACCTCATCAGCTTTGATGATGATGTTTTGCCCTCCTCATCTAGGAACCTGGCTGAAGAATCTGTTAATTCACTACTGGCTCTAGATCCCTTTCAGCTTCCCATAAAAACAGCACAAGCAAAAGAAAGAGCAATTCAATCAGCACAACTGAAAAGCTGTAATTCCAATTTCCGCCAAACCAAGAAAATGTTTACCTGAGACCACCTCCACTCCCTGCTGAAAAACGTATTGGAAACACTTGCAGTGTAGTACCTGGAAAACTCAGTAACACTGAAAGAACAAGAAATGTGGAGCCGCACCACACAGGTAAAACAGGAGGTTTGGGGCAAGGACCCCTAAGATCGCCAAGACCTGTAAATAGAAAATGGATTCTAACTGGATGACCTTTTCCCACAGTGGCCCCAGAAAGACCACCTCCCCCAAACTTTCTGCCACTAGAACATGAAGTAAAAAAAAACTGCCTTTTCATTGGTCCTCTTCTGACATGGATCTTCAGAAAAAACAAAGTCACTTGACATTTGGACTCTCTGGTCCATTTTGTTGTTGTTGCCCAGGACTGCTTTGGCTATTGTGGGTACTTTCTGGTTCCATGTGAATTATAGGACGGTGTCAGCCAGTTGTGTGAAGAATACTGTTTGTGTTTTTAGTGGGTTTTCATTAAATCTGTGTCTCAATTTTGAAAGTTTGGCCATTTTGACAATATTGATTCCTCTACTTTAGAAACATATCTTTTCCATTTCTAATGTTCTCTTCATTTTTCAGAGTATTATAACTTTATTTTTTAGTTAAGTGTATTGATACAATTTAGATATACATAATAATCACATTCATCATAGGAAATTTGTACCTGTACATCATATATCTTAGTTTCTCTTCCTTCCCTGTTCCCCTTCCCTCTCTTCAAACCTTCTTCCAGTCCCCATTTACAAGGCTTTGTTTCCATTTTATCCTTTTTTCTCATTTCTTCCTTTTCTCTTCAACCTCTCCAACTCCCCATTTTTTTTAACAATTACTTCCGATTTCATAATATCTGTTCTACAATTTGGTTCTTATTTAGACTTCCACTTTCTCACACCAAAGAGACAATGTGATATGTACACATTTGTCT